GGAAATTCATATTCAGCTGATTATCCCCCACCACCCCCAAATCTGCTTCAGAGTCATCACTGCACAGAATCGAGTCCTCCATCCTGTAAATACAGCCCACAGTCTTTGTTCCGAGATGTGAACATTTACATTTTGTCACATTGAAACACATATTGTGTGCTTGCTCCCAGCTTCCCAACTTATCAGTAACCTGCCCTCGTTGTTATTTACCACTCCCTCCATGTTTGTGTTGTCTGCAGTCTTTATCACTGATGATTTTAGGTTTTCTTCCAGGTCATTGATAACAATGTTAAATAGCACAGGGCCAGGAACTGATCCCTACGTGATTCCCTGGAAACTCATCTGATCAATGATGATTCCCCATTTACAGTTACATTTTGAGATCTATCGGTTAGCCAGTTTTAAATCCATTTCATGTGTGCCATGTTAATTTTATATCATTCTTGCTTTTTTAATCAAAATGTCATGTGGTACCAAGTCAAACGCCTTATGGAAATCTCAGTACATTATATTGACAGTATTACCTTTAGCTAAAAAAACTTATAATCTCATAAAAAATATTAAATTAGTTTGACAAGATCTGTTTTCCATAAGCCCATTGCTAATTGGCATTAATCATGAGAGTCTCTTCTAATTCTTTATTAACCAAGTCCCGTATCAGCCACTCCATTATTGTGCCAGGGATCCATGTCAGACCGACAGGCCTCTAATTACCCAGGTCATCCCATTTACCTTTTTAAAGTATTGGCACAACATTAACTTTCTTCCAGTCTTCCGGAATTTCCCCAGTATGCAAGACTTACTGAGAATCAACATTAAGGGTTCAACGAGGTCTCTGGACCTGTAGATTTAAAAATGTCTATCTTTAGTAACTCGTGTTTAACATTCTCCCCAGATACTAGTGGAATGTAATGAGAGTTCTCCCCTTCATATGATATGACAAATTCATCATTTTTTTCTCAAATGCAGAACAGAAATATTTATTGAACAGTTTTGCCTTTTTTGTATTCAGGAGTGGTGGCTGCTCCCTAAAAGTGGGTGGGCCACCGGCACCGAACCATGGCCCCACCCCTACGCTTCCCCTTCCTCCTGAGATCCCACCCCCACACTGCCCCTTCTCCCTGAGGCCATGCCCTTATACTGCCATTCCTCACAAGGTCCCACCCCTGTGCTGCTGTTCCCCCTAAGACCACATGTCTTCTCGCTCCTCTCTGCCCCCTTCTCCTCCATCGCTCGCCCTTACGGACAGTAAAGAGTGGGAGGGCATAGCTCTCCTACTTTTAAAAGTGATGGGGCCATGGCTCCCTGCCCCCCCCCTTTTCTGGCACCCCTGTCTGCTTTATTATTGATAATTCCACCATTTCATCTAGTAATGGACCAATACAATTTTTAGGGTTTATTTTATTCCTAATATACTTTAAAAATTCCTTCTCATTGTCCTTACTGGCCATAGATTTCTTCATGTATCACTTTGCTTCCCTTATCAATTTTCTACAGTTCCTAGTGTCTGATTTATATTCATTAATGTCAACTTCTGCTTTCTTCCCTTTGATATACATCATTTAAAAAAAATTTATAGTTGCTTTCATGTGCCCTCTAAGCCAGGTCAGTTTTTTTTAACTAGTATGCTGCCGTCCTTGATTGTTGCTTTAGGGGCATCTAATGAAGTGTTCTTTAACAATTCCCAATTATCAGTCACATTTTTCTAATTAAATTCTTCCTCCCAGCTGGCTTGGCTCATAATTGTTTTCAGTTTTGTGAAACAGGCCCTTTCAAAGCACCAAGTAGAAATATTACTGGTCTGGACTTTACTCTCTTGGCATATTGTAAATGGGATCAAGTAATTATCAGTTGTACGTAGGCTACAGTTCATGGTTAGTTCTGTGATCAGTTCCTCTTATCTCTCAAGGCGAGGGCTCATATAGATCACTCCCATGGCGGATGCAACACTTTTGAGTTCGGAAAATGTCATCAATGAGAAATTCCAAGGATGTTTTAGTACTAGCAGCATCAGACCTCCAGCATGTGTCACTCACATTGAAATCCCCCAGGATCAAACAGATTTTTTTCCTACACTCTATCAACAGCTGCATAAGGAGCTTCTCATACTGTTCCTTAGTGGGATTTGGTGATCTGCCCCAGACACCAGTTAACCCCCATCTTGTGCTGTATCCATTAGGACAGGGATCCATAACCATAAAAGATCATTTTCTTCCAAGTTGTCAGAGACTCAGAAACAAGTCAGAGACACTCTACTGACCATGTGCAAATGGCAATGTTCTGCACTTTATAAACTAGCCAGATCTATATGGATTTTCATGGCAATAGGGGAAAAAATGCTCTTCCCCGAGCACAATCCGCCTGCCAAATTTTAATTCCAGGCTCCAAAGCATAGAAGTGCTAGAGCTCGTCAAAGAAATGGTCAGGAAAATGGATTACCTGTGTTAATGCTAACCGTGTTCTCAGAAATGCCTCAACTCGTTTTTGCTGAAAGTTACAAAAACATTCAACCCACAGCACAGCCTGAGCATGGAAAGTTCCTCCCCGGCAGTCCCAGTGTGGGAACGTTAGAAGCGATCGTGAATGGGGCTTTCCTGAGACATGCTCAGCAACCCCAACGTTCCTCTCATTTGCATTGCAGTAGTGGGGTCGCTGCCAGAACCATAGGCGCTGACTCCGTGGGTGCTGTGAGGCTGGAGCACCCACAGAAAAATCAGCACCCACCAGCCGATCAGCTCCTCCCCCTCCCTCAGTGCCTCCCACCCACCACCGATCAGGTGTTCAGCGGTGGGTGGGAGATGCTGGGGAGAGGGGGAAGAGCAGGGGTGGGAAGAGGCAGAGCAAGGGTGGGGCATGCTTGTGCGAGGAACAGAGGCGGGAAGAGGCGTGGGCATGGGCAGAGCCTCAGGGAGGGGCCAAGTGGGGTGGGAAGAGGTGGAGTGAGGGTGGGAACTTGGGGTTAGGGGTGGAGTAGGGGTGGTGCCTCGGGGCCGAACAGGGGTTGAGCTCTCCTGGGGAAAGCTGAAGGTTGGCACCTGTGGCCAGAACCCACATTAACAAACTTGTGAGCAGGGTCTGACTGAGTTCTCCCCTGACACCTTCCTGGGATGGGGAGAGACTTCAGGAGCAAACTGATTTTACGTGAACACACCTACTCTGCCCAGCTATCCAGCAGATAGAGCGGTGTCACTCCAAGCGATCAACTCGGCTGGTGTTAGGTTAGAACTCACATTAGTACTGAATGCAGGGGTGTGAAATGCTATTATCAGAGTGTTGTCATTATTGTATGAATAAAGGGCAGGAAAATTGTGCTTAACCTGTCGCCAGTGAGGGGGTCGCCCTCCGCTGAAAGGGCCTCGTTAAGCCAGGAGCTTGAATGCCAGACCCTGGAGAAAGTAAGAGGGGAGGAGACAGGTATCCCAGCCAGGAGACGTAAACTCTCCCTAAGGGTCCCTAGTCTGGTTTCAGATGTTCCTCCCACCCTTCAAAGATAGAGCTAAATAGGCTCCATTAAGAGCCTTTTGTTATGTTAAAGTGTTCAAATGAGAGCGGAAATCACTTGCGATGGGACAGGATTTCTGCGCAGCCTGCAAAGAGCTGAAACTCACTAGAGACTGACCTGAAGAGGTCACAGCAGACAGGCAGGTGACTGACAGTTGGCCGGGGAGCAGTGGGCCGGTGAATGAGCGGCCAGTGAGCGGAACGAGAAGCTGGCGGGGCGGCCAGTGAGCGGAACGAGCAGCTGGCGAGGTGACCAGCCAGCACAAGTGCTGAGATGGCAGAGCAAGCAAGGTGCCTTCTTCCCGGGGTGGGAGGTGAACTCACACAGCTGCACCTCTGAACCCTGGGTTCTCACTGACCCGGACAACCACTGTGAGTGGGGTGGGGTGAGGGAGCAGAGAGGGGCACAGAACAGGAGCTGTGGCTGTAGAACCCAAGAACATGAGGCAGAAGGCAGAAGACTCGGCCCCAGGCACTCTGGGCTGGGCGTCCTGCTCACAGTTTTATGTTTATGAATCCTGCTTTTTCCCTAATTACTGTCAGGTGACTTCCCTCCTGATATTAAACGTTTCCTTTTCTACACTCAGACTCTGTGCTTGCGAGTGGGGCAGTATTACCTCCCAGAGGCACCCAGGGGTGGGGTGTAATTTCCCCAGGTTACTGGGTGGGGGCTCGAGCCGGTTCTGTATTGTTTTGTTGAAAAGGATCCTCTAGATATTGAACCCGGCCCTGGTTCCCGCCGGTCCCACCTGGCAGAGGGGTTACAAACTCATTTCTCAGCAAGCTCCTCCCCCCTGCTCCTGCCAGGGCTTTCCCAGCATCCCGGCTACTGCACCAACACCGACCCCCAGAGGGGTCCCACCCCCTGCCGTGTAACCAATGCGAGGGGCCTCATGGCTTGAGTGAGCCCTTTCCCGACAGCATCT